GAAATAGAAAAATATATGCATATAGACACAATATATTATTTATTGGGTGTGTTATACATATGCTGCAGAAAAATTCAAGCCAAGCCAATTAACATCCATCACCTCATGGTTTTCTCTTTCCTGTTGTGCTCTAGACCTATGAAAGTTTCATATTATTCTATTTTAGTATCAACACAACTTCAATGATATTCCAAGCTTCATTATTTAGACTATTGTCTTCTAGCAATTTTTTGTTTTCTTTCTAATACGATCTAAAGAATTGTTGCCAGGAAAAGTGGTATACACCTGTAATCCCAGAAATTAGAAAATAGAGTCAGGAAGATCAAGGGTTCAAAGCCAGCCTCAGCTATATTGCAAGCTCAATGCTAGCCTGGACTGCCCAAAAAAAGGGGGGTCTGTGTTCTTAGATGTAGCATTTTTTTCTCTACAGACGAATCTGCATTTGTTACAGCACAGACTTCCCAAGGAGAATCCTGTATGTAACCCTTTCTAACTGGCTCTCTGCATGTGTGCCCCTTGGTTCATATTCCAAATACCGAGAATATGAATGGTGAATCCTGGACATAGACTGTCTAATTCATGTAGATGTGTCACATGGTAGAGAGTTTTTTTTTTCAGCTTCATCATGTCAGATGTGGTTTCTGTTGGAAGTCCTTTAGACAAAGCTGTTGTCTTATTCCACCAAACCAGTGGTTCTCAACCTTCCTGATGCTGTGACTCTTTAATACACTTCCTCATGTTGCGGTGGCCCCCAACCACGAAGTTATTTCATTGCTACCTCATAACTGAAATTTTGCTACTATTATGAATTGTAGTGTAAATATCTGATATGCAGTATATATAATATGCGACCACTGGCTGAGAACAACTGTACCATACGAACCTTTCCCAATACTTGACAAACTATTTCTTTCCAAAGCTTTATTGGGATTTAATAGTCATAAAATCTGCACACACTTAATGCAAGCATCTTGGTGAGTTTGGGTACACATAGTTTCATGGGACTAATCCTGTCATGTTGTACCTAGGATACTATCACATTAAATGATCATCAACTTCCCTTGATGCCTGCCTACTGAAGAAGCTCCTGGCCTTTGGAAGTTGTATTTCTTTGTATTAATTAATTAAGTGACTTCGACAATGTAAATAAAAAAATAAAACATAGAGAAAATTGGTCTCAAACCAAAACAGAGAGAAAGAGAACAAATACTTGCTGGGAAGTATGCACACAGACCAGAACGAGAGAACTACCTGTCTTTTCCAGTTTTGAGACTTGACTTTGTACCCTGAATGTCTTTCTATGAGATTCCCCTTTAGTCTGAAGATACATAATAGTTTTCCTTGATCTAGTTGGAGGGAAATGCTAGCTTTCAAATATGGTACTTTTGACAAAGGAATTGAAATTTTTAAAAGCCTGAAACCTACCAGATCCTACAGTGGTAGACTGTGGTAAATTCCCCCAACATAGTGCTTGTTCTGTAAGTTTGTTAGCAACTAGCTAATTTTAGCTAAATTTCCTTAATTGAATGTACATGGATCTGCATGTTCAAATATAAAACATCTCTTGTAAAAAGTCAATAGCACCTTTTATTTCTTTCATCACCTTGAACTGAACCTAGGATCTCAGACATGTTAGACAAATATCTACCACTGACATACATCCCTAGTCCTATTTTTACTTTTGAGATATTCTCATTAAATGGTACAAATTAAACGTGAACTTGAAAACTTCCTTCCTTAACTTCCTAAGTAGCAGAATTATAGGCCTGTGGCATCAGGCATGGCTCATTTCTACCTACATGAAGAAAACTATACAATGCCTGAAGATGTTCATTGAGAGTAACTATGAGAATGCAGTGACTTTTGCTTTGCCAATTGAATTTCACTCACTAATTCTAATGGTGGAATGAGTAAAGAAGTCTTAGAAGTTCAAAAATGATAATGGAAATGGTATGGGAGGAAGATGAAAAAATATGTTAAACCTCACACCATTAGGGCTGGCAAGGCGGCTCAGTGGGTAAAGGTACTTGCTGCAGAGACTGACAACTGAGTTAGACCCCCCCAGAAACCACATGGCAAGAGTCAACAAACTCCTGACAGATGTCCTCTGATCTCCATATGTGTGCCAGAGTTTACACACACACACATAAGACAGACAGCCAGACAGACGATAGATTAAAAAAGCTAGCACATAGCTGGGTTTGGTGGCCAACATACCTTTAATCCCAGCACTTGGTTGATATTAGATCTATCATATTGACTTTTGTTTCTTGCTTGTCTGCTTCTGTAGTGCTGGGGATGGAACCTAAGGCCTTGCTTGTGCTGCAGAAACACTCTGTCACTGAACAGGATGCCTGTGCTAGACATCTTTTTTGTTGTTGTTTGTGTGTTTGTTCGAGACTTGTATTGCTTTGGAACCTGTCCTAGAATTTGCTCTGTAGACCAGACTGGCCTCGAACTCACAGAGATCCACCTGTCTCTGCCTCCCAAGTGTTGGAATTAAAGATGTGTGCTACCACTGCCTGGCTTAATAAAATACTTTTAAATTAAATAAAATATCTGAGTTCAAATATTTTAAAAATAGTATAGGCATTTATTATTATAATTATGCTGTAATTATCATTAACTACAACAAATGCAAACATAGCTGTTTTAGCTAATGAAAAATAATTTATTCTGTCAATACTTCATTATTTTTTCTTAGCTTAATAAGTTGAGAAAGATGCTTGTAATTCATAATATATTTGACAATGTCGTTAATCCTCTGTAATTTTTATACTAATTAGTGATCTCAAAGTATGCCATTTTCCCAAATTGGTAATCAAATAATGTTTCATGTGAGGCTGGAGAGATTGTTCAATGTTAGGAGTACTAGCTCTGCAGTCGTGAGTACCAGAGTATGGATCCCAACATAAGCTTCCAAAGGGGCTGTGGCAGGAGCATCACCTGGGTGTGTTGGTTTTCAGTCTAGCTGAGAAGGTACAAGGCCTAGGTTCAGGAGGAGACCCTACCTTAAAAGAAGTGTCCAAGAGTGATAGAACATCCAATAATGTCTTCTGGCCTCGATACACAGATGTATGCACGTAGATATGTGCATGTAGAAAGACAGATGAGCTGAGCAATGGTGGCAGACGCCTTTATTCCCAGCACTCGGGAAACAGAGGCAGACAGATCTCTGTGAGTTTGAGGCTGGCCTAGTCTACAAGGTGAGTTTCAGGACAGCAAGAGCTACAGAATGAAGCCCTGTCTCAAAAACCAAAACAAAAAATGAGAGAAAGAAAAGAAAAAAGTCAGATGGATGAATTGATGGATAGATGATAGATCTTCACGAATGTTTTATATATACCTCTCTTACCAGTTAGCCTGCATCTATTAAACAGATCTGAAGAATGGAATAGAGATCTGAGGATGTAGCCCAGTTGGAAGAGTACCTGTTTAGCATGCATGAAGCCCTGAGTTTTTTCTCCAGCATTACATAAAACTAGATACAATGACTCGTGTTTGCAATACCAGCATTTGTGATACTGAGGCAGGAGGATTGGAAGTTTAAAGTAATCTTTGGTTACACAGTGAGCTTGAGACCATCCTGAGCTACATGATATCCTGTCTCAAAAAAAATTAAACAGTGAAAAAAATTGAATAAAATTCTCATCAAGAAAACACTTTGCCATCAATTACTTTGTTTCAGAAGAGAGCAGACAATCTCAAGGGCTTGTGATTAAAAATTAAATGACAACTAGGATTTTGCCCTTCTTGATTCAATATCTTGCTGTTTGGTTTCCTGCAGAACCAAAGCATATAATTAATCTTGATAGTTGAGAGCTTACAATTGCCTCTCTTTACTTTATGTTGGGCTCTTTCCTTTGAATAATGCAAATGAGTAATTTTATATGGATTTTAAAAAAACAGCCAATAGAGCAGAACCATAAATAAGCTTCTATGAACTTGTGTCCTGTGTGTAGTCGTTCCTACAGCAGTAGCCATGATTTATGATAGGACTGTATACTTTGCATAAGTCTTCAGAGGCTAGGTAACCACAGTGATGGGAATTAAAAAGGAGTCTGCAAGTCTTAACATTACTTGACAACCACTCTGAAGACTAACAGAAGTTTCTAAAATCCCTGCTAATTTCTAGTGGTGCTCACAAAGAATTTAACCTCCTGAATGACCTTCTAGGACAGCATTAATGTGAAACTTTTCTTACAATTAAACACAGTTACTATGTATACCCACCAGATGCTGTTATCAGACAGTTGTGATGGGAGGAGGAAAGTCCACAACTTGGAACTGGTTGGCTTTTTAAACCAAAGATTTAATCTTTATATTTACTTGAAACTGATTCTCGAGGAAAAAAATCCAAAAATTAAAATTCTGACACCTAATAGTTAGGCTTTGAATAGGAGAAAAATGTAATAATTTGCAGCTAATTGTTAAAGAGTTTAAAATTTTACTATTGAGTATGTACATTTTTATTTCAGAACATTGGGGAATTTCAGAAAAATATCTCCTGTGGTTAAGAATACCAGCATAAGTAATAACTTCCTTTTAAATAGCTAAATGAATGCCTAAAAAAGTTGAACTTGGCCCTTAATAATCTATTTGTAAATATAAACCCCCAAAGTATAACTTTCTTTCTTAGAATGTCTTTACTTTTTAATAGTAGGAATATAAACTTTCAATATTGATTTATTTTCATTTAACCCCCAAACAGTTGGTTTTTTTTTTTTTTTGGTTTTACGAGACAGGGTTTCTCTGTATTGTTTCGGAAGCTATCGGTCCAGCCCGGCCTCGAACTCACAGAGATCTGCCTGCCTCTGCCTCCCGAGTGCTGGGATTAAAGGCGTGCGCCACCACTGCCCGGCCAGTTTTTCATATAATTATATCAACTATAATTATGTTGACAATTATTCTTCACCTGAAAACACATTTGGGGGCTGTTCTCAAGGCAAGAAGATAACACTGCATCATCTGATAATTACATAATCACAGTGTATTTGCAGGGACACCAGAGGAACTGAAGTAACAAGCCGACTTCCAGAGCCCAGTGCTGGACAGCAGCCATGCTGTGACGATCACTTCTAGTTCATGATCCAGGGAAGCTTATACAGTACCGGAACCCTCCTGTTACAATTTTCTGAATCAACTAACTGCACATTCTCCCATTTTAAAGCAAGATAATTAATAAAGGGACCATCGCCTTTTAAAACCAAATATCAAAAAGAAAACTACATAAGTATTCTTTAAAAAAACCCACAAATATTAATGTAATTTTTGCAAGTTTTGGAAACAAGGTAACTACCTAAAACACATTGATTGGTTGTATTTACTATTAATATGTAACTGCTTCAAGGCATAACAGATAATGCTGTTCTGACCAGAACCAACTGGCCATCAGTTTCTTTCTAATTTTAGAATTAAGATTTCTCTGTATCTAGAGAAAGCATAAGTTGTAATTTCAGCTATGTTTTTTCTGTACTTATTTCTGTAGTTGAACAGTTAGGATTGAAAAAATAAGTAAATGCTAAATATTTCCATATTTGTCTCTATGTATTATCATGTATTCTGATTTTCCTATTTTATAGTTCCCCTTGCTGAAAAATGCCAACCCATTTTCATCCCTCTAATTTTCTTGACATGTTTGAATAAGTTGTCCTGTTTTTGCTTTTAAAAGTGTTGATTCTGTTGTGCAGTTCTTGGAAACAATGAGAGAAGAATTAGGAGAGAGATAAGCCAGATTGCCTTATATTGGAGATGACGAGGTCCTTTCCTGAAGAAGACTATGAATGCCAAAAGAATGGAGGGTCCAAAAGCTAAAGATGAATCCAGTCTTGCTTTGAAGAAGTTGAAGGGCAGTGGGAAGATAAGCACTTGGCATGCGTTTGCGCTGCTGTGTGATGCCAGCATTTAGGAGAGTGACAGGGAGGGTTTACAGAAAGCTTGCATGTTGGGACTGAAGGTCCTCCATGGTGTTTGTGAGAAATACTTGCAAATCAAACAACTTTCAAACCTCTAAAAATATTGTGGGGCCTTTTTGTTTGTCTGTACTCTGATTCCACAGTGCACTCAGGCTGACTTCCAAAGGAAAGCCACAAGGCCCAACTTGACATGGGTTGCAAAGCACATTACTGTTCATCATTCTGCAACTTCAGAGAAAATTAGTTCTCATTTTCAGATTCTTCCTCGATTTTCTGTGAGTGATTACGTAGTAAAACAAGCATAACATAATGCCAGTTTACCACTCTAGAGATGGTGGGTCCTGGGAGAAGGAGCCAATAAATAAGATGGACTAAAGTCTGGTGAAGCAGCCAACTTTAGCTTCGCACAATTTGTACTCTGAGGGCTAAGAAGAGTCATATGAGTAAAGTGTACCATCACAAAAACAGGCTGCCTTCAGCGAAAAGCATATTTTTACAAAGACGCCTATAAATAAATAAAGAATAGTTTGAAGTAAACTCACGCCTATCTGCAACACCTGGGAGGGCATGAATGCACATTCCAAGAACAGGTCCATGGTTTTTGAAGAAACTGAAGTCACAAGACTACTGTCTTGTTTTCTTGGAGCTTTCTCTCAAGCACCCAGAAAGCTCACATGACTCCATCGCAGACCTTGTTCCAACAACGCTACTGTGTAGCATAGGAAGCAGTTTGGATTTGGTCACAAGTATCCAACAGCTAGGCATTTAAAACCAAGTTGTGCTGCTGCGCAAATGCAAACAGACTGTGGTATGACTGGTGCTCTAAACGTATAATTTACATCTACTGAACCCATACTCTGTGCCAAGGCTTCTAAGCATCTGGCTTCATTAACTGTCTTGATAGATCCACCAGAACCTTATGATGTACAAGCACTCTCTGCAGTCTATTTCCAGAGGCTCAACAGTAGATAACATGCTCAGGGTTTTAAGCCACCAGCTGGTAGTCAAGGGATCTAGATTCAAAGGCAGGCACTGTGGTCCTTGCGCCTAAACCTTTCATTCTCTATATTGTCTGGTTTCCTAGATCAAGGTTTATGTTTAATTTACATTAAATTTTAAACAAATACTGTATTAGTTTACCAAATAGAAGCAGCTGCCTCAGTTTCCTTTCTATCACTGTGAGAAAACACCATGACCAAAGGAATTTCTGGAAGAAAGGGTTCATCTAGGGCTTTTGGTTAGAGTCCGTGACCATTATTGTGGGAAGGAGAGCAGCCAGCAGGCAGGCTTGGCCCCGGAGCAGTAGCTAACAGCCCACATGTCACCTACAAACATGAGATGGAGTTAAAGCTAACTAAGTTTTTAAACCTCAAAGCCATATACATCCAACAAGGCCATGTCTCCTAATCCTTCCAAGACAGTTTAATACAAGTTTAGGAAACCATTCTTCTATCAGCCACCATACCTGTCATCCCAGGATCTGGGAGGCAGAGACAGAAAGAGCACACGTTCAAAGATCTCCTGAACCACATAGCAAGGCCCCCGTTGATGTAATTAATATTGACAACGATAAGAATAAGCTAAAAATAATTATTTTTATATTGGAAATAGATATTTTTTCATGCACTATATTCTGATCACAGTTTCCCTTCCATCTCCTCCCAATTCCTCCCACCCCCTTACCCATTCAACTCCATTCCTTCTTTATCTCTCTTTAGAAAACAAGCAGGAAAACAAACAAACCAGAACATATATAGCCAAGCAAACAAAGAAAAGGAAAAGAAACAACAACAAAGTGAAAAACAAAGAAAAAACATGAGATGCACATGCACACACTGACACACACAGACATACATAGACATACACACACAGAAAATTCATAAAAACCCCAAATCAGAAACAATAATATCTAATCAAAAGACCAGTAATATAAGAAAAGAAAAATACCCAGACAAAGCATACTGAGTCAAAAAAAATAAAAAAGAAAAAATCCTCCCCAAATACCACTGAGTTCATTTTGAGTTGGCCATCTACTGCTGGGCATGGGTTGCCCTTGAGTGTGATTTGTAAACACATTGAGAAGCCATTTGAGAAAACCCACTTTTCCTTTGTGAGTGATTTTTAATTAGAAATAACTTCTTGGTAAGTGGTAGAAAACCAAGTCCACTTACCCCTCTCAGTACTGGAATCCCATCTGCCTTAGACCTATGAAGGTCCTGAGCATGAGACCACCATCTCTGAGTTCATACTGTCTTGGGTCCTATTGTGTCTAGAAGGCACTGCTTCCTTGGTGTCTCCTGTCCCTACTGACTTTTAATTGCAAAGGAAAACAGCTGAAAAGTAATGTTGATCCTACAACAGTGTGCTCTAGTGGGTGTCATGAATATGCTTCCCTGGTCTGCTGACTCACTTTGTTCTCTGAGCAGAAATACCTATGTTATCAATGGTGTGACCCACTATAGAAAACAGCAAAGTCAAAGGTATCAGTTGATATTGCTTCCCAAAAGAAGGAAGAAAGTAATGTGTTGGGATATTTCAGACTTAAAGGTAAGACTTGAGAGATTGCTTCTAGAAACATGGGTTTTCTGGCCATGCGTGGTATAAAAGATGAAGTCTGTCTTCAGAGAGCATTGATAAGGACAAATAGATGTACAAAGATGTAATAAATATTTAACATATGAATCTTATATTTAACATAAATCGCATGTATTTGGGGACACAGACTGATGACTCTGTTGCTTCTAGCGAAGCTTATTTCAGATATCTTTATTGATGCTCAGAAGCCATTTAAACACCCAAACACTGTGAATTCTAGGGACACATGAAGAATGACAACCTTTAAATAGAAACTGAATACAGTGAACCATGCCTGTGGCTCTGGTACTGGAATGGTTAAGGCAGGGGGCTTAGGATTTCAAGGCCAGTCTGGTCTGTATATTAAGGACCTACTTACAAAACCATTGTTTTCATAAAGAAAAATATACAGTATGGAAATGTAGAAATGATCCTGGGCACCAGTCTGTGAACAGACATAGCCAGTGATCACCATGGCAACAAGCCTGATGGGACTAGTCATGGTATTAAGAGAATTGTCCTGGAGTGACCAGGACTAAAGCTTTAGCAAGATTGTATCTGTGTTGGTGAATACAGGCAGTCACTTTTGTAGTAAATTGATTTTACTGTGGGAGAACCTAGGAAGTAAGTTCAAAGTGTAGTCATTTTAAGCGTGACCTAAAAGGTGTAAAAGCTTTGGGAGAATTCTAAGGTGTTCTTGTAATCACCTAAGCCAGGCTAACTTCCCAAACTGCTAACTGTAGCACTCTATAGTATGCCAGAAACGTGGAATGTAAGCTCCAAAATTTTGTCATGCATAGATGCATTAATCAGTCTGCAAAGCTCTTTGGTTTACTCTGAAAGTATTTTCTACTTGTTTTATGAGAATTTTTTTCAGTGTAGAAGTGGCTTTGTTAGGGAAGACCTTCAGAAAAAAAGATCCCACTTGGGGAGCTTGATGCCACCACCATATTCACGCCTGCAGTGAATAAATCCTCAGCGCAAAGTATATTTGTTATTCTACACACCCGCCTCGTTGGGGCTCTTTTGATGTTGTTGTTTTTATATTTCCGTGGAGAATAAGGGGAAACTTGACCTGTGTGTTCCAAATGAGGTAAGAGGATTGTGGATGGGACTCACTGAGGGCCCACAATTCCTTCCCAGAAGAGAGCAATCAAAGGGGCTGGAACAAATTCAGCGCCCTGATATTAGCAGAGCCCAACTGTGGAGACCATGCTGGTAGTGTAGCGCAAACCCGCACCTCTAAAACATCAAACCACTTCAAAAATTAATCTCACCTTCAAGCAGAGGGCAGGAACCGTAGAAGTCATATCAGGATATTGTTTGCCACCGTTTTTAAATAGAATAAAGACATCATGAAACTTTTCTCTGGTTTTTCTGTAACTCCAGAACTTCTCCCTCCTTAACGAGTTTCAGTAACCAGACTAGCTCAAGATAAGCAAAGTACCTATACCTTTGATGAAGCCTGGAGTAGTACCAGACCTACCCGACTTTTTATTAAAATGCTGCAAAGTGTGTCATCATTTATGTTTGGAAGTGTAGGGCTGAAACAACAGTGGTTGTTTAAAAAGCTCACTAATCATATGTAACTTTGGAAGGATGTAGAGTTTTCAAGCTAGAGGCAAAAAAGTCCATTATCACAGAACTCTACTTCAAGAAAGGAAGGAAGGAAGGAAAAAGAAAGGTCAGGTAGTGGTGCCATGTATGCCTTTAAACTAAGCACTCAGATTGTGGGAAGGGGCTCAGAGGCAGGTGGATCTGTGTGAGTTCAAGGCCAGCCTGGTCTGCAGAGCAAGTTCTCAGGACAGGCTCCAAAGCTACACAGAGAAACCCTACCTTTTTTTGTTTTGTTTTGTTTTTTGGTTTTTGATTTTTGGTTTTTGAGACAGGGTTTTTCTGTATTGTTTTGGAGGCTGTCCTGGAACTTGCTCTGTAGACCAGGCTGGCCTCAAACTCACAGAGATCCACCTGCCTCTGCCTCCCGAGTGCTGGGAGTAAAGGCGTGTACCACCACCACCCGGCAAGAAACCCTATCTTGAAAAAGCAAAAAAAAAAAAAAAAAAAGAAAGAAAGAAAGAATGAATGAATGAATAAAAAAGCTGTCCTGTTATTAATAATGTGGGCTTAGCATGGAACCTCTAAAAACTTTACTGTGTACCATCCTTTTATGCCTCAGAAACTTTTACATAATCTTGCATATGTAAATATGTAAAAAACGTACACAGATGAAACATTTGCTGCCATTAAATTATAGAGAAAGTTATTTTAAAACAGTTTGAGCATACATATAATTTTACATTTATTAAAGATAAGAACAAATTTACATATGAATAGAATGGTTATGCTTGCTCATTTTTACATAAAAATTGAATATTGCCCAAATGTCTGATGCCACAGGATGAACATTTTTGCCATTTTTATGGTTGATCAATATTTTGATTT